TGGAAACAATCGCATTCAGATCTTCAACTAACCCAAAAACCAACCATTATGACCCCTTTTTGCAACAATTTCAACATTTTAGTATACAAATGCACACTTGTATGTATATATGTATACACACTGTAAAATATATATTGCTGTTTCAAAGTCGGCGTTATACCATAGCATCATTGGCGAGCGAATTGAGCCCACCTGTGTGTGGATTTTTTTATATATTGTGCCACACCGCTCATACAGTAATGTTACATTATTATTCTAAACTATGAACGAAATGCGGGCGGAATAAAATTGAACTTTGTTCGCTCGAGTTATACTAACCTTGATTAGGTCCACACAAGGCTCTGCCAGCTGCTTCTCTCTCTCGTCCCACTCCCTCGGACCCCCTCCCCCCTCCACTTCTTCCCCCAACTTCACCTCCTCCACACCCTCACAGAGGTCCCCAATCTCCCCGCCACTCGTTCCCCCTCCCCACCCCTCCCCTCTCCCCCTCGCCATGGTAACTTCCTCCGCCTCCCTGCAGCCGTCCCGGACCAGATGTAACTGAGTCAGAATATCCTTCACCACTGCCGCCTTGTTGTCTGCAGATATCAACTTTTTACTATTAACTATTTTTAAAAGGCACAACAGAAAAAACAGAAACAACAAAAAGCTTAACAAATTAACAAAATCTACATGTGAACAGGAATTGGAGGGGAAATCACAAAAATTTCATTTGTTGATAGACAATAAAACTGCCAAATTATGACAAATTACCTTTTGATAGCTTCTCGGCCTTGCTACAGAACTCCCAGACTGTACCAGTGTTCCTCAGACCTCGTGGTACTCTGGGAGAAAAGAGGGGTAGAGCGAAAAAATAAAGCACTTTAAGGAATGTGGTGGCATGAAAAGGTGTAACCAAAAACAGAAACCTAGTTACATTCCTACACCGGGCCTTATTTTTAGGTCAAGGTTTTCATAAAATGTGCGACAAAAGCCGCGAAAAGTTTCCGACAAAAAAGTTGTGAACACATTATTGTGGGCTCACGCGATGGTTCCAGTGGAGATGATTGTAGTGATGATACTCTCAACTCCCCTCAGAATGGCCAGAGCACACCTCTCCACCTCCTTATGTAGAGCCAGACCTTCCAAGAGGGAGGAGAGGGAGGGAGAGAGAAATATACATTTTTGAGACTGAATACACACTTTGCCTTGTCATAGGCTAAAGTCTGCCACAATATGCTGCCCAGTGTCAGTCAGATCTTTGAGAACACAAACACATTTCCATGAACCAGGAAAGTTCTAGGAACAAATATTCACCGTGTACTTTTGCTACCCTCACCTATTAAAGAGCCTTTTCCCCCGCAAATTGAGGTAATACATGCACATGGTACTGTACTGTATGTATACAAAACCCCAACTACCAGTATTCAGACTGAGAGTACTGACAAAACCGAATGGACTCTACAGAGGTGGTCTCTAGTACCGTAGATGGGAGATATGTGGAGGTAGGTGGCCGTGAGGTTTGCAGCTGCCTGTTCCATAGCACAGGCCGCAGCGGTACAGTTCATGGCAGACGGGAGAGCCGGAGGAGAGGCGAAGAGAGCCGCCAGCTTCGTGGAGTGCTCCGAGACCAGGGCAGCTGCCTTCTGGAAGTCTGTCAGAGGAGGGAGAGGTGCTGACTCGTCACACGCCTGACAGGGCACCTCCTGGTGAATCACTGAGAGGAAGAACACCATGACACACCATATGAGGAGGCGGTCAAAGACTTGACGGCTAGTCTTATATTACTTGACATCCTAGCATTTGGACTGGTTTTCTAATATGCCAGTGATACAGTGGCATGGGTCTTTAAACAATCTCAAAACTGGCCATGTGTACTGGTTGGCGTACAATTTTTCCGTTTTCATGATTTATTTCCAACACCTAGTGTGCATTATACTTAAAAACTGTTGCGCAGTTCCAACACACTGCGCTGTTGATGATTACACAAGCATTATGGCATTAAAAAGGGAATTACAAACACAGCATTTAGATATTTGGTGTCAGTTTGTGCGGAGGAGACAGCAGGATGGTGTAGAGAAAGGCAGGGATTCAGCAGTTGTGTGGAAAAGGCTGGGAGTCGGAGTCACGTGGATGCTGTGCTTGGCAGGGAGTCATGTGGTGAAGGCATGGAGTCATCTGGGAGTCATGTGGAGTGGGGAGGGAGTCATGTGGTGTAGGCATGGAGTCATGTGGAGTGGGGAGGGAGTCACGAGGGGAGGCTGGAGAACTGGCCTTGCAGGCAGAGATCTTGCAAGCGAGGGAAGTGAGAAAGGAGAAGTAGGTCTGCCGTAGAGCCGGCCACTTCTCAGAGTCCTCACAGAAATGAAACTGACTGCAGGACAAGGAACAGAGAATGCTAAAATGCACGGTTCAACTTTGTCCCATGACAAATACAAAGAGTAATGGTCCATACTTTATCAATGAGAGCACTAGTGCACTAAAGGAATATGTGTGCTACCTACACAGCATTACCATAAGACAATGTGCATCAGCAATAGAGAAGACACATGCAGGGATGGTATACACTACCCTGTTCTCAGACCTTCCCCATGTGAAAATTGTTTGTGCAAGAGCTTCGATGCCCAGAGTCAGCGGACACAAAGGGCCTGGGAATGAGACTATAGGTGTACACAACCTGTTGTGCCCCAATGAACTAGCTAGCTAGTAAATCCGACTACATTTTGGAAACTATTGGTTTACATATCGTGGAACCCTGCCATGACAAACACCTGCTGAGTTAACTCTCACTCTAAGGATTCTGTAGAGTATTTGTTTCTTGAGCAGCATTTTGAAGGGAAATATTATGACAATCAGGGCGAGCCTACTGCTACCTGCCCTGCTAACGGTGGCATCTTGTACCAGCAACGACACTTGTCCAACGTGGCTCTACAGATCAGAAGAAGGATGGTGCACTTGCGGTAGCAGCCTCTCGAACGTCATCACTTGCAACAATGACACCGGGAGAAGTCGGTGTGCGGAACTCGTTCTGCCTAACCTCGTCTCGTTCCCGGCAGCACCCGACAGAGGCCGTAGTCGGTACCTGTGTATTTGCACAACGCCACGGGAGAGCAACCGAGGGTGGAGCGGGGCTGTACGTCAGAGTAGCTCCGAATATTTCTGACCAAGACAAGCAGCAATGTGGCTACCTAAATCGTGAGGGGAGACTGTGTGGAGCATGCCAACCAAACCACTTTGTATCGGCCTACTCCTACGACCTCAAATGCTACAAATGTCACACAGGCTTGATTGGAAATATACTCGCTTACATAGCCGTTGGTTACGCACTTCAAACTTTCTTTCTGGTTGCCGTTGTGTTGCTTCGAATATCTTTCACATCGCCACACTACAGCGTGGCCATACTCCTATGTCAAATCTGGGCAACACCAGAGTGTCAGCGGATTCTTACACAAAACCTGCGGAATACACCTTTCATGATACCGTATCAAATAATAGCTACGTTTTACGGAGTTTTGAATTTGGACTTTTTTCGAGCGGTTGTTCCCCCGATTTGCCTCCCACTGAACACAATGCAGGTAATGGTTCTGGACTACCTGACTGCGATCTACCCTCTTCTGCTACTGGTGGGGTGTTATGTACTGGTGTCGGCCCACGATCGAGGGTTCGAGCCAGTCGTGCGACTGTGGGGACCGTTTTTCCGGTGGGACAGCGAGGACACGGCACCAGTTTAACATCAAACACTCCATAATCGATGCATTCGCTGCGTTTTTTCTCCTGTCCTACATGAAACTGGTGTATACTTCCATCGACCTGCTGATATTCACAAGCGTTGTCGACATCCACGGCTCGCGAGTTGGATACGCTCTATACTACGATGCAACGGTTGACTTCTTGGGGGCACAACACAGACCCTACGCTATTCTTGCCGTGGCAGTCCTAGCGGTGGGGTTACTCTTCCCGGCCCTCCTCATTCTCTACCCCACAAACTGGTTCCAAAGGCTACTCAACAAGGTTCGCCTCAACAGTCCGGGACTCCGCAGTTTCATGGAGTGTTTTCAGGGCAACTATCGCGACAGAACGGACGGTGGGGTAGAGTGCAGATACTTCTCGGCGGTGTACCCGTTATATAGGTTTGTGGGATCGACCCTGTATGCCGTGACTCGCAATTCCTTGTTCTTCCCCGCGATGCTGCTCTTAGTCATTCTCACCATAGGCTCACTAATAATGCTGCGCCCATACAAAAAGCAGTACGACATGTACAACTCCTTGGATGCTTTTCTGTGGCTGTCAGTGGCAGGGTTCATAGCTGGCTACACGATGTATGCTCTCTCTTTCGACTGGTACCAGCTGCCCCCTGTCTTTGGCGCAGTGGTTGCAGGAATTTTCGCTCTTACTCCACTTGTGTACTTTATCGTGCTGGCGTTTTGTTTCGTAAAGAAGTCGCTTTTGAAGCGGAGTTGCACCGGTATATTGGAAAGAAGTGACAGCGAAATTAACTTCTTGCTTGACACATCGACCAACACACGAAACAGCATTCACTGATGATGGAACGTGGCCCTTTTCTGGGACTTTAATTTGTGATCGTTTCTTGCCACACATAGTAAATGCATATTTGTAATTTGTGAACGGAATCTTTTTAGATGCACAAAATTTGCCATTTTGCTCTAGAAAAATGGACACACATGTCATGGCTGTTACGTCACAATGAACATGAGATGCCTACACTGAGATGCATGTCTTTTCAGGTTAAAAGGGATGGTTTAAAACCAAAAATCACGTATGGGGGGTTTTCATTTCTCAGTTTCTCAGTAGCTCTGTTTCCCTTGTTCGTCATGTTATACCCTTATTACCCAGCTATATCAACCAGAGCTGGGCTGGTCCCCCAGTATGAACATACCTGATATTGTGAAGGAGTCTGTTGATGGAGTGGGCCAGTCTCTCGCCAGCCTCCCTGCAGTCCGGCCAGAGGAGAGGGGCTGGGAGCTCCCCCACCAGCTCGTCCACCAGAGGACTCAGCTCCAGGACCAGGAACAGCGTCTGGTCCAGCTCTCTGGCCTGGCCCTCCTCCACCCCACTCCTCCCGCCCGTCACCACCATCCTGCACAGTTCCCCTGTCATCTCACTGCACAACTGAACCAGACAGGGAGAGGGGGAGGGTATATAGCCATTGATTACAGAGTGAAACCTCTCAATAAGGTTTACACACATTGAAAGTGCCCTCTACTCAGTAGCCATCCATTATTCAAACCTAAATATAAGTCCGTTCGAGGGAACTACGGGATTTCAATGAACCCGAGGGCCTCCGCGTTGTAGTGTCCCTAGCGCAGCGAGAGCAACTACGCGGATGGCCCGAGGGTTCATTGACATCCCGTAGTTCCCGAGTATACGGAGTAACTAACATGCAGAGCAGACAAATCCGCACACGCACAGCGCCCGTTTCCAGGCGACTGAAATTCGAATGAGCGTAAGACGCGATTGGTAACAGACTCGAGCGAGGTTTCAGCCAGAAACGGTAGGCAGAAGCACCCGCTCGTCGTCCGCCGCTCTTCGCAGAAAAGGGCTCCGCCCACTCTACGTGCACGTATCCGCAGGCGTGACGTACCGCTAGCGCTAGCGTACAGGCGCTTACGTACAGCTAGCTAGGCCCATACTTCTTGTCTCTCTGTGCATACTAAACTAAAAAAGAATTATTGTAGACGATAAAGCTACATGTTTCTGTAGATTATGTACGTGATCTTGTCATTTTCATGTGAACATTTTACATGAAAAACAAGGTTTACTACGGAGCGTCCCAGGTATACTACGGGAAATCAAGTACCTCGTGTGGACCAATCAGATTGCTCGATTTAATAGGGTTTAAACCCAGTTAACGTCAGAGGGCAGTGCAAGTGGGATGGTAGAATGATAGCCGCGCATGCGCGTACATGGTGACCGCAAGCACACGTGGCAGGATCTGCCTTCACAGCCGCAAGGAGCCGCTTTTTTCTCTTTTTTTTTTATTTCCCTCCGTCAGGCTTCACGGCCTGGCGTGATCAGTGTAGGGGCATGTTCATGGAGGAGGGTGTTCCCCTCTTCCATGGTTCCTCCCCAAAACACGTCTTATGACGTAAGGGGAGGGGCTACCCTGCCCCTCACTTTCACCAAAACACACAAGTCTATGGCTTGTGGCATGCTGTGGGAGCGTCAGGGAGCCCGGTAAGACGTTAAGTATATATGACCGTCGTCGATCGTCGAGACATGTCGGGTACGGCCCTATTTGTCCTCATTCCAGTCCACGTTTGGAACGGAGACCACTCGGAGCAAGCCCCTCCTCGCTACATACCTGTAATGACTACATTCATGCAGTTTTTGCTAGTGTATGTACAGCTCATAATGATCAGTGTCTCATCATATTTCTGTATTATTACAGGGCTACAAGCAAAAGAGAGCATTCATCATAGCTCAGAGTCCCATGGTGTTCACGCCAGAGATTTCTGGAAGATGGTCCATGACAGGAAGTGTGGAGTCATTGTTATGCTCTGTGACTTGGTGGAAGATGGAGAGGTAGCAACACGTTTCATTGTTATATTATACTATGACACAAAAACCACAGGAGACGTGTTATCAGTATTGGCCTCAGACTGGAATGGTTAAGTTTGGAGAGATAATACAGTCATTTGACAGAAGAACAGACAGTGATTGGATATACCATTCGATAAACTGAGTATGTATGTATTAGGTATTAAAATTATATTATCTCCTTCATGCTTATTATAACAGTCTGGAAGTGCTCATCAGATTTACAGCTGCACATAACTACTGGAGTCCTGATGGTAGATGTCATACCTCAGCACTGATCTACAAGTGTGCTATAGTGAGAGAGGACGAAACATCCAGATCACAACTGGCAACCGTACCATCGATAGTCCATTGCAGGTAAGTAGTTGCTAGTTATAGCGTAAGGGAAGGCTGACTCAAACGTGTTACTTGCATGTCGTTTGTTGACAGAGATCTTATTCTCCCACAGTGACACAGTGGGTAGGTCTGGGATGTTCGTGGCATAGTCACCACCATTGATGAGGTGTAAGACAGAGGGCGTGGTGGATGTGTTCAGGTGGTCAAAGGCTCTCCGGGGTACACAACCTGGCGCTGCTCACGTTGTACATCCCGTGGTAAGAGTACAGTGCTAGCCACAAACCTGAATGATGTCTTCATTGCAGGCAACTACTATCATTGCTGGTGTTTGGTTGTATCGTGGACTCTTTGACATTACAGCAATTTTCTTAGTGATAA